ATGCACACCCACAAGTCCCCTACCCTCAAATTGTGCAAATTTCTCTGACATCAGTTACATGTATACTCCAAAGGAAAAGACACATTTTCACAGGAGATCGTGCCAAAGCCAGTAGGGGCAAGAGAGGCCAGGAGGGCCTGCATGGGGGTGTAGTGATTACGAATTACGCAAATTTTCGCCACCAGACTACAAATTACGTCAAAATTTCAGAGCTGATTATGACTTTATGCTTTGCTCAACATGGACGCTGGGATTCCTCTTTTGGGGAGGCAGTGCCTACGGATTAGGGAGACTAAAAAGGCCAGATTACGCCTTTCAATAAAGGGCATGCAGGCCCTCATGTATACAAATGTAGGTCATCTCTTGGACCGTCCAACTGAGGAAAAACGATTAGTTCTGCCAGTACTAGTATCACACCTTCCTCTGATCCTGTTCATAACATTGAATACTGGAACTGAACAAAACAAAAATACATGTATGTGAAGAGTGAAAACTTATTTGCACAAGGTGGCTGGCTAGCTTATTAATAATACTGCTAGCTAAGCTTCTGTAACATCCAAACTGTGATGTACACAATTGTGACCTGAAGGTCTGACCTCTAGCTCCCCCTGTCCCAGTGAGGAGGGGTAACCTTGAGGTCAGACTGAGGAGGCAAGGCACATGTTTTTTCAGGGATGAAGTTACATCTTGTTTGATCCCATATTTGGGGTCTCTGAAAATCCAGTTCAAATCATCCTAGTCTCTTGACTCTTGGGGGCTGCAGGAGCTCTTTCTGCCCGATTCAGCGGTTCCCTACAAAACTCCTACAGCACTTCTACCAGGGCTGTTGAGCTGGAATGGGGCCCTATTATATATATATATAAACCACCATAGACTGGTTACCAGAGATGTTATAAGATGTACATGTACATGTAGATGTACTTTCCATCATGCTCTCATTACAACAGGTTTTTGTCTGACCACCTATACATGACTTTGTGCATAAGATGAGCTAACCCCAGCAGAGTCCACCTTTGTGTCCAGTGTGCTATGGGTTTGGAACCCAGGCTACCTCCAGGACTCCCATTAACAACTTTGAACAAGGAGAGCAAAATATAGGGGAAAGGATTTCAGTGTTGTATTTCAAACCCTGGTCTGCAGAGCAATGTGAATGTTTTCTTTCAATCAGTGTGGGTCCCAGGGAGAGAAAAAAACCAGGCCTGGCTGGGTCATCTGGTCTGCCAGAATGGATCACTGCAACACTGTAGGTCTTGCTTCAGTGTCTTGCCTATTCAATGTACATGTACAGGGCTCAAAATGCTGGGTGCAATGCACCTTGGAGCTGTGCACCCAATTTTTTGTGTGGGTGCACTCAGGTATTATTTGCACTAAAATATTTTCTCAGGCACATACATATAGTAGTGACAGCATATTAAATAATTCAATCATCATTATAGTACTTTTCTTGGAATGAAACATAATTATAGTTTTTGCAGACATTCTACTTATTTTATCTTATATGGTGCACTCACTCACTGCACGGTACTACAATGTATTTTAGGTGCACCTAAAAAATTTTTGTTCACCCAATTTTTTAGCTTAGGTGCACCAGTGTCTATTCCTAAAAATGAATTTTGTGCCCTTGTTCTAACTTACAGCAGATATTTCTATTGTACACACTGTCAGTTTTAACTTGCATGTCTGTGAACGTCACCTGACAAGACAATTATTCACTCCTCTCCCTTGTTTTTTTTACAATTTTTTTTTTCTATAATTTTCCAGTAGGAAAAGTTCATTTTCTTGTCTTCAAGTGCTACTTTATTCTTTTGGTATTTCGTATGATCTGGTGGGGAAATGTCTGGCTAACCCTTATTACAATGTAGCTTTTGTGGCTCAAGTGAAGAAACTTACAAAGACTCTAGTAGATACTACTAGTTGTGAGAAAAAAGAATTATCCAACAAAAATTTTACCTTCAGGTCATCACCCCCTCCCCGAAGAAATACAGAAAAATAGATCTACTTGGCTAATCTACTTGGCCTGGCTAGTCAAGGAAAACATAAGGGCCTTGTACATTCCCATTATAATACATATGTGGATCCTGTGCAAAGCTGCTCACTACTCAGCATAATCTGACTGCAACCACTAGCACTCTCTTGTATGTGCTTCCAAGGGCTCTCTTTAGGTAACTGAAAATCAGAGGGACCATGTATAGGACCATGTGGGGATTTGATTCAATTCTTAACTCTTCATTGCAGTATCACATGTTAGCCTAAACATGCCAGAAGTATGGCGATGTCAAGTAAGGTTGCAATGACTGTTGTCATGCATCTGGAGTATTTAGCTTTCTTGAGAGTACTTTACATGTACCGGTATGTACACTACAGACACACTCATAAACTGCAAACAATTCCCTGCAGCAAGATACTACGTGTATTATGAAAGGCACTAGGAGGGTACAAGACAGGAAGAAGATATTCCTGACCCTTGCATGACCTGAGTCAATGGAATGTCAAATTTCCCTTGTGGTTTACTGATGCTGGTTAGTCTGGCCTGAGAGAGCCTAGCTGGATTAACAGGACGCTTTCCCGCATAGCTCAAACAAAAGATCAGTGACATGTACATGTACATGTATGTCCTAGCCTGGTATCTTCAAATCTGTAATGTGCATATGTCATCATCACTTAGTGGAGAATTTTTTTACCTTAAATTACCAAAAATTACCTTAAGAGATCTCAATTTTTTCAAGAAAATTATCAATCTCTTACCATTTACTTAAAGCAGCACAAATGGAAATACATCACGTTCCCGAACAACTGGGGAAGAAATACCTACAGGTGAAAAGGTTGAGTTACACACAGGCCATGCAGGCTTAAGGTTGTTCTCCTGAGACTATTGTCTAGAGGTCTCCTCTGTGGCTAGATAGATAAGCTATGAAAACATGTGGTAGTGATTACAGTTTGGTGGTCAGGAGGGGCGTCTCTGGGCCCTTACTGTGAAGACTTACATTAAAAGCCCTGAATTTGTTTGGATAAGAGTGGAGGCGGGGCGATGGAAAATTGTTACACAAACCCAGTAGCACCCAGAGCTACCTAGAGTAGAGTAGAGTAGAGTAGAGTACCTTGGTGATAAGTTCTTCCAAGGGTAGTTGTCTAGCGTTTGAACACAGTCTCACAGTACAGTTCAACTACTAAAATCATGTCCCATTATGTCCCAAGTTCTAACAAGGCTTTATTCTTCTTTCTTTCCTCTTATTGACTAAATAGTGACAAATCAATTGTAGGATAACCAGAGACAGGTATCCTCTTGTATTGACCCACAAAAAGCCCTGGCCTACAGCCATCAGCTGAGATGGTCGGACAAGAAAAAGCAAGAAAGTTGGTTGGGGAAGTGGATGGTGCAGCAGCTGCTCCAACCGTTACACGGCCCCAAAATCCCGAGGACATCCAGTCTGGGAGTCTTGCAGAACTTCAAAGTGGGATAGGAGAGACATTTGTAACCAAGGGCTGAAACTTGATTTCAGGGTGTGATCGAGCCATGATATAGTGGCACAGAAGCTATGTACATGTGGAATAAGATATGTTTTGTACTATATTTTACCCGCAATAAGGTAAATAATAGAAGTTGCTAGCCTAAATCAAAATTAAAAGCAAAAAGTGCAAAGCTATCTCAATGCCAAATCGCAGGGCATTGGGTTGTCATGCAGCGGAACAAAGCCAATAATATGCATTTCTGACAATTTTTACCCAAATCAAGCTACATTGTAGTAACATCTGTATGGACAAATGATACATTTTGTGGGTATTTTATGAAATCTTTTTAAAGATTTAGATTTCTGCGCAGAAATCTGTGCAGAATTCTGCAGATTTCTGCAGAATTCTGCAGATTTCTGCAGAAATCTTCACCCTGTGTGTCAATGGAATTTCCCTTATGGTTCATTCAACTGATACTGCTGGTTACTAGCCAGAGTGTCAGCCTTTGTAGCTTTCATCCGCTCCCCACACTCTCTATACGGGTAGCATAGTGGGAAGTAGATGAAAGATAAAAAGGCTAACACTCAGGCTACCTGGTTACAGGATCTGGTCTTATGCTTGCCTGTATAGCTCAAACGAAACATCTGTTACGTTGTATGTCCTCGTCTGTAATGTGTATAGCTCGTCATCACTTTGTGGAGAATTGTTTTACTTCATAAATTACTTTAAAGATCACAATTTTTGTCAAGAAACGAAAAGAACAGCATACAGTGCAAAGCTATCCCCCATGCCAAATAGCAGCGCACTAGGCAAAAGCCAAATTGAATGCATTTCCGACAAGTTATGCCCAAAATACATGTAACCTGATAGTAGCATTTGTAGGACAGTAAATCTACCGCTTATCACCATAATGATACATTTTGTAGGACAGTACGGTACGAAATCTTTTAAAAAGCAGATTTCTGCGCAGAAATCTGCGCAGATTTCTGCGGCGAATTCTGCAGATTTCTGCAGAAATCTGCAGAAATAACTGGATCCCTAGGGAACTATCACTGTTATCTACATAGTTGTTGTCATCTTCTACATCACCATGTGGAATGTCAATTGTCCAGGACAAACTATACTTGAAAAGTGAGAGGTAGTCCGGAATTAGAGTGTCTGTCCGGAATTAAAGTGTCGCCTGTTTAATATAAAATCTCTGTTATAGTAATTGATTAAGATTTTGAAGTTTTTAATAGCCCTCATTTCAAATTTAAGTCCAGAAGAGGACCAGTAAGATCTGTAATTAGGTTTTGTTTTATATGGTGCACCCAAAAAGTTTTGTGAACCTAAATCTTTTGGGTTGGGTGCACCAGTGCACCTATTCTCACAAATGAATTTTGAGCCCTGAAGTAGAAACTGTATAAGGTCATCCATCCATGTGCATTGAAGTTCAAATTACTGTCAAAGTGACTGTCCCTTTGAAAATTAAACATTATGTTAGGTTCAGAGAGAGAGAGGGTTGAACTGGAAAACCATAAACAAAAATGGAGGGAGCAAAACAAACAAACCTCTTTCAGTTTCACCTTAGGTGACCATCCAAGGTGTTAGTTGTCAAGGAAGAAGGTGCAATGAAAGAATGCCAGCCACATAGAAAATAAACACCAAAATAGCAAATTAGATGTCTGATCTTTCATTTTTATCTGTAATGTCAAACATGCATGTTACATGTTACTACTGATGAAACACTGTGACAGCAGAAACCTTCGCTCTGCTGATTTAGACTAAGTCATTAATTTGTGTATTAGTTACAGGGTTAACACTGGTACAGCCAAAAATGTCTACAAAACGGCTAGCGGACATTGGATATGATTTAGACATTGCTGAACAAAGGCCAGTGGGAAGAACAATTAAGTAGACATAGTTACTGAAAAACGACATTGAAATAACCCAAGGTGGACATTTTATATCCATAGTCTCTTCACACGTCAGGTAGGGACACCCCTAGGAGACAGTCCTTTGTTTAGCACGTGTACTTATAAAGATATTAGCATCTGTCCGTTAATTAATTGCATTCCACCCTCTAAATTGCCTTGGCTTTGTGTAGTGCTTGTGAGTTTTCAAAGTTTTTTCTAAAGACATTCTGACAGACACTTTATGAACAATGAAAAGCACAACAGGCAAGTCCTCCCCAAAAAGACCCTGGAGAGACATTCTTAGATTGAAATGTTTGAAAAATGTCTGGAATTTTCGAGAATCCCCAATGTCCGCTAGCTGTTTTGTAGAGTCTGACATTTTCGGCTCTATCAGTGTATGCTGCAAGAAGAATAAGCTTGCTTTTATTAGTTAAAATGTGTTATGCATTGTCATGTATAACCCCAAACATGTACTTCTGTTTCACTTCAAGACTTAGTTAAGCTGCACAGATAAGAAGACTTGCAGTAGGTCATACAAAAGTACACAACATTTTCATTGCACATTGTACTTTCTGCTACAATATTATAGCGTTGGCTCAGAACTCAAATGTGAAAAAAAAAAGATTCTATACATACATGTATGGCCATGCTACCATTACAGTGTATATGATAGTTGTACCAAATTTTAGGTGTTTGTTATTTGACTTTGATACTGTCTAACAGTAACACAGCCTCCCCCTCAAAATACCGTAATTATTATAGAAAATTATCTTGGAATAAGAAATTGGACTTGAATACTGTAGAAAGTGCCAGGCCGCCACAAGTACTCAGCTTACGGTGCCCGCAAGGATCTGATGCATTCATTAAGAGTGCCTGGAAAAGGCTCTTGTACACTCAGTTATAAGTGTGAAGACAGAGACCCTGACAAAAAAAGTTGTTTAAAGTATGAAAGTCTCATTTTAGCAAAGAACTTCTCTGACTATTCACATCACTCACATCAAAGTATAAAATTAATATAAAAAAAATAATTGAAAGTTTTATTGCAAATTCATGCCCGAGGGCTAATTGCAAGACGTACATGTACAGAAAAAATATTCTTATACCAGGGGTGTGTGGCCACATACCCTATAGGTCAATTTGAGCTAATTTAAAAGCAATAACACAGGCCAGAAGAAATTACTATATTATAGAAAAACCAAGTTGAACACAAAGAACAAACAACGAAGGTATGAGATCTTTGACCTCTAGTTTAACAATGATAACTACTTGAGTACTAGTGAAGACTTACCCAGCTCCCCGCTGGAGGCCTTCTCAGACAGAACCAGTTTCTGTCTCTCTAACAGCTCCTGTTCCTCCTGCAGTCTCTCTCTCTCTGTCTCCATGTCCTGCAGCTGTTCTCTCATTCCCTCTATCTCCTGTGCCATCTCTACCTGCTGACTCTCTTTGATGTCCAGCTGCTCGTGTAATGTTTGATTGTCTGTTTTAAGTCCTTCAGACAACCCTGGAAAAAAGGATAGAACACGTCAGGAGGAAAGTCTCTTTCACAAACATTTTCTTCACTAACTCCTGTTTGGCCACAGCTAGTAATTTTTATGGATGACATCAGCGCGCCCATTAATTTTTGCCTGATTTTGGACAAAAAAACAATAAATTTTGTTGCCTTCTGACAGTGGTCAACATGCCGAAAATGGGTAAAGATGCCTGTTGCCATGCCGGAAGGTGGATGGCAGATAACTATGAAGAGACAAGAAAAGGTTCTGATTTAATGTTGTGTTTCTAACTTTGGTGCAGTGATATGTGATGTTGGCTGTGTACATGTGATGTTCCCACTGAATCAAAACCATTTGTACGATGATTGAGTCAATTTTTTTAAATGTAGGAACCTTGTTTTTTTTTGGCCCCCCCCTTGTTTTTTTTTGCCCACTCGCATTAGATTTGAAGTCTGCGGATGATGTCATCCATAAGATTTACTTGCTGTGGCCTTATAAGAAAAAAACGTGTGCAAGCATTCATGTAAGTGCATAACAACAGAGCTGTGTACAATGTATGGGTCAGTGGTTGTGAATGGAAACTACATGTTGTACATTGTTTGGTATCCAGACTGTACATGGATGTCTGAAGCAGTTAAAAGGTGTTATTTTTGAAATTCCAAGGTGACTGTTTGCAAACACCCCTACACACACAATCTTAAACATGTACAATGTAGGTTCCTCATATCTTTGCCACTGGGCAAGTGTAAGGACAGATGCACATTTAGACTACATGTACTCTCCGAACAGAGGTTTGGGGTTATTTTGTAGCGTGTTTTTAGGCTTTTTAATCGGGGTTTCTCTACAGTGGGGAAAAAATCCAGTGCAAAAGAGAAACCCCGATTAAAAAGCCTAAAAACATGCTGCAAATAACCCCAAACCCAAACCTCTGCTTGGAGAGTACATTTAGACTGGATATGCACAAAATCATTCTCGAGTCTACAATTAGCAACAAGTTTAAAATGTACAAATGTGCATATGGTGGGGTCAGCAACAAAGTGCAATCAGTCTAAGTAACAATCTGTATAGCATCAGCAAAGTAAATAATTCTTACTGGTCTGGAACTATGCCTACAAACCTACCAAACAAAAGGAACAAGCAGGCAGAGTTGTGGATCTTGTGCTTTTTTTCAAGCAGTCATGTCTTGCTGCCCCTCCCACACCCTTGCTATGTTGATCTAGCTGGGGTTACTTTACATTGTTACTAAGCAGGTCAAAGTGTGCTGTAGGTCAATCATTAACTGAACAATCAGGTACATGTAGGCGGGTGTTGTTAAAGACACAGAACTATGTGTTCTTTTGTTTGTCCAGACAACTTCAGTTAAAATGGTCTGTAGAACCTGTCCTTATCAGGGAGCCAATCTAAACAGGACGACACAAAAAGTACATTTCCTGATCATTTCTTTACAAAGTAAGTTGAATCAACCCTAAGCCCATTGGGAGGTGCCATTCAGGAATTGAAGGTGTCAAAAAAATAATGGCCTTAAAGCCTTACGAGTATGTTGCAAAGTTGGAAACACAGCTGTTATCCCTGATTCTTTACATTCTTGTATTGTGTGGTGGCACTAGAAAATGTGTGCACCTAACATGAATATTTTTACAATTGAAATATTTCAATTTTTGGTGCAAAAAATGTTACAAAAATGCCTCTACAATCTAGCTTAAGCTTCAGAATCTACACAAAGTAGTCCTGTAAAATGTGAACTTTTCCTAGTATGTTAAAGCTCTAGACTTATATATTACAATGTATGTGACTAATGTTTCATGAAATCTTAACAAGAATGAAGAATAAAGTTAAGAACATAGTATACAGAAAGATACAGAATGATATACAGAAAATTGACTTTGAAAATCTAATTTTGCCACCCTGAAATTTGGATGATTTTGGTTCATTCATGACATTTATAAGTAATGTTAAGGATTGACTAATTTTATTCAAACTGTAAAATGTATGACTGTGTATACTAAGCAATAGTGCTTTGTACATTATGCAATTGTCAATTAATTTAGATCTATAATTCTAAATTCTTCTGTTCCACATGACATCATCTACATGTACATGTATACTATATCTGCACCTGGTTTCTGCCTTACCTGTTGCCTGGTCCAGCTGCAGCTGCAGCACCTGTCTGGACTCCACCTCCGCCTGCAGCTGTTCCTGCAGCTGCTGCTGATCAGCCAACACCTGCTGTGTTTTCCCCCAGCTCTCTTCTGATGCGTTCAGCATGTCTGCATGGGCTGTTCTAGTTTCATTCAGCTGGAAAACATGGATGAGTTTTTACTAATTACATGTACGATCCAGGTCTGGAGAACTGCAATGTTCATTGCCCATCCCTCCCTCATCTCACAGAATTTTGCTGCTCATGACAGACAAAGACTGTGCTCATTCTATCGTAAGGCCAATTACTGTCTGTCAAAATGACACTAAAGCCTCGGTCACACCCCGCCGTATGTGCTTCTGCATGCTGTCTGTGCAAAAACGTGGGCAAACGCAGGGCATCCGTGCGTGGTGAGTACCACCTCCGTACGGAATCCTACAGATTTTGGAGCACACAGACAAGCTGTAGAACTTTAAGTGCATGGAAAACTTTTTTGCATGCGGTCTACGGATTCACCACACGTACGTGCAAGTACGAACGATGCACGTGCCCCGTACGTGCCGTACGGAAGAAGCACGTGTGAGTACGGCCTCCTTACGGTAAAGTTGCAATCGCACAGAGATCGTACGTTGTAAGCTCGTACAACTCACTTACCACTTGTGCAACGTACGATGTACGCAACCGCTCACGGCCAGAGTGGCGTGCAGACCACACTCTTACACCTTGCGAAACCGTGCGAGTGACGTGGGTAGACGCCACTCCTTCCCGACGTTTTCAGAAAAACGTAGCAGACGTGGCCTACAAAAAAAAACGTACGGCCAAAAGCACGCACGGCGGGTTGTGACCGAGGCTTAAGGTTAGTCAGAGTACCAACAAAATTTTCCCTTCAAAATGCAGGGAAACCCACTAGGATTGTTGTACTTGTGATGATGTAAAACATGTTATTTCAAACAAAATTGAGATGATTCATTCCAGGTTANTACTATATCTGCACCTGGTTTCTGCCCTACCTGTTGCCTGGTCCAGTTGCAGCTGCAGCACCTGTCTGGACTCCACCTCTGCCTGCAGCTGTTCCTGCAGCTGCTGCTGATCAGCCAACACCTGCTGTGTTTTCCCCCAGCTCTCTTCTGATGCGTTCAGCATGTCTGCATGGGCTGTTCTAGTTTCATTCAGCTGGAAAAACATGGATGAGTTTTTTACTAATTACATGTACGATCCAGGTCTGGAGAACTGCAATGTTCATTGCCCATCCCTCCCTCATCTCACAGAATTTTGCTGCTCATGACAGACAAAGACTGTGCTCATTCTATCGTAAGGCCAATTACTGTCTGTCAAAATGACACTAAAGCCTCGGTCACAACCCGCCGTATGTGCTTCTGCATGCTGTCTGTGCAAAAACGTGGGCAAACGCAGGGCATCCGTGCGTGGTGAGTACCACCTCCGTACGGAATCCTACAGATTTTGGAGCACACAGACAAGCTGTAGAACTTTAAGTGCATGGAAAACTTTTTTGCATGCGGTCTACAGATTCACCACACGTACGTGCAAGTACGAACGACGCACGTGCCCTGTACGTGCCGTACGGAAGAAGCACGTGTGAGTACGGCCTCCTTACGGTAAAGTTGCAATCGCACAGAGATCGTACGTTGTAAGCTCGTACAACTCACTTACCACTTGCGCAACGTACGATGCACGCAACCGCTCACGGCTAGACGTGGCGTGCAGACCACACTCTTACACCTTGCGAAACCGTGCGAGTGACGTGGGTAGACGCCACTCCTTCCCGACGTTTTCAGAAAAACGTAGCAGACGTGGCCTCAAAAAAAAACGTACGGCCAAAAGCACGCACGGCGGGTTGTGACCGAGGCTTAAGGTTAGTCAGAGTACCAACAAAATTTTCCCTTCAAAATGCAGGGAAACCCACTAGGATTGTTGTACTTGTGATGATGTAAAACATGTTATTTCAAACAAAATTGAGATGATTCATTCCAGGTTAGCTAGAACACTGGATCACTGACTGAATAAACTGGTGCAATGAACTAACTTAAGGGTGCTCACTTGTTTGATGGTTCAATATTGTACCGGTCAACCACCTTCTGTCCTCACTTGGTGATTCAATCGGTGGTTGTAGGATATGACCAGACCAGGCCTTATGTCTGCAAATGCTATCCTGGTTACCAAACCTACATTTTACTATTATAGCTCCCAAGTCCTACATCCTCTCCGCAAATAGCTATTTGATGTTTACAGTAGGACTCAGGAGCTACTGTATAATAGGTTTGGTAACCAGGCTATGTGTACGCACCTAGGGGCAAGTCATTAACTCTTAGGCCACACCAATTTGATTTACATTTTGTAAAAGAGACCTAGGCATCCTCTGATAGCGTTAAAAGCTACGGTAAGTGCCATGATGTCAACATACCAGGCTTGTTTATGATTCAAACAATGAATTCTAACCATTTTTCTAACTTTTCTAGGTACTGCAGCAGAACTTCCGGTTTTGATATCTCGTGATCTGGACATGCTAGGGTCACGAATTTTGGATGGCAGATAGCTCTTGGGATAGGGAAGAAGTGACACGAGTTTGGGTCCCCTAGCAGCTTGTTCTGGAACTGCAGGAGCATTTGTTGAAAAATTTTCGAAGGAGGATAACTCAAGAACCGGTTGACGGATTGTCGTGATTTTTGGTATGTAGGTAGTTGAAGTGATGCTTGACATAATCAGATGACAATTATGCAAATCAGGAGCTAATTTGCATAATTAATGAGGAAATTCTATAAATCTGCTTTGTTCGATAATAGAACTATGAAACACTTGTGACATCTACTTGAGAACGAGAAAAAACATCTGAGGATATAGATTATGTAAATGATGATCTAATTTGCATAATCAATGGCAAATTTTTATAATTTCATAGTTGTAACTGCTGGGAATTTCATATTTTCCACATTTGTAAGTTAAGTGAAGGTGAACGTCAAAAAACATAATTTATTCAAATCATGACCTCATTTGCATAATTTATGAGAAAGTGCTATCGTAGCCTTGTTGTTTAGATAAGGCTGTCATTGGGTGGAGAATATGATCAACTGATATAATCTGTGCAAATGAGGCTCTCATTTACAAAATCAATGATTAAAATGGTATTGTATAATTCGTGAACCACAAGGGTTAACATCATTTGGCGAAGGTATGAGATCGTGGAACTCTTGTTGATCATTAATTGCTGCTCAAAACCTACTCCTAGCTGTCCCAAACCTACAAGACTCAACCATCCTGCAGCATATCAGCTGCCCAGATGTAGGACACAGTATAGGGAGAGATCCTTCTTTCCACGAACAATCAGAGAGTGGAACAGCCTGCCGGCTCACATTGCTCTAAGTAGCAACGTAGAAGACTTCAAGTCCAACCTGTAATCCCCCTCTAGAAATCTCCATTCCCCGGCCAGTACCATTACCCCCCCCCCTTGCGCAGTACACACTAGAATGACATAATCTTCGACAAGACGAAGGAGGTCGTTTAAAGAAAGAATAATAATAAGAAGGAGACAAACTGTAACAACTAGGATTAGGAAAATAGCTTTCTTCAGCTGTCTGGACCAAAATAAGAGAGAGTTGATTGAGAATGAAGCTGTTTTTTTTTTCTTTCTTTTTGCAAATCAGAAAGAAAATGAAATGGGCAAAACCAATTAATTTGGTGTAGCCTTCATTAATCCACCTGATGCAGCTGCACAGCTGTACACGTACCTGTTGCTGCGTGACCTGTAGCAGGTCCAGTAGCCTGGTGACAGCCTGCTGCAGGCTGCTGGCAGCGTTGTGTACCGTTAACTCTCCCTCCTGGTCCAGGTCAGGGCCTGCAAACATGCTGTCAGCCAGCTGGTGGGAGATGTCCAACCCTTCATCAGTCATGGAGGACAGGTCTGTCAGCAGGTCACTGGTCTGACTCAGGTCCTGTACATGTCTGCCTACTGCACCTGGAACAGCACCTGCAACAGCACCTGAAACACAAACAGTGACACAATCATTAAACTTAGTACAGTAGAGATATTTGCATTCACAACCTCCATTACCCTTTGTTACTTCCTGTTATTTTGTTGTATCTGACAAGTACAATCATTTGTGTTTATTTTGTGAAATCTCTGCTAATTTTATTGACTCTTTTTATATCAGTTCAAGGATTGTTCACTTAATAATTTTCTTTATTTCATTATTTTCTCGTACATCTTGTACATGTATCACACGTGTTACACTGTGATAACAAGCCGTATCACACAGTGTTCTAGTGGTTATCACACAGGCTTACCGTAACTACACAATGTACATGTATGTTCCATAAAATAATTGGAATGTGCTTTGCCTGTGCAGCAATCAAAAATATAATAATATACCGGACAACAATGGAATTGATGTTGCCATTTTTTGGGGGGGATACCAAATTTCATTATATTACAACACAGTGTACAAAATGTATTCCACATCACCTTCAGTCCCAGCCCACCCGTAGGTGATTTGGAGCAGTGTAGTATTCTAATAGATAGACTGAGTATAGAGTACATTTTGGATGATAGAAACTACAGCTCTGTACCTTCACTGCTGTGAGAGGGTTGTTCCTTAGCTTGTCCCTGCTGGTCCCTGGCCAGCCTGTCCAGATGTTCACTCACTCTCTCCTCTAAGGACAGGTTAGTCTGAGTCACATCAGACAGGGTCTTCAGGAGGTGGTCGTTTGCCTTCTGTACAGCATCCCTGGAAAAGTTCAAGGGCCATCAGGTCAACTTTTTGCACCAAAAAGTGAAAATAATATTTTAATTGAAAAAAAAATCTTCATGTGATTGGCAGTGACACAATGTACGTATAACATTTTTTCACCAAAAATTGAAATGTTTAAATTGAGAAAAAAATCTTCATGTGATCTCCAATTACTTCCACTTTTCAAAATATCTGCACTTATTTCACATGAAAAATTTCTGACATTGATTGTTGACAATAAAACAGCCCACACAAGGCACACTCATTTTGAGGTACCACCACAAACTACACGAATGTAAACAAACGTAACTGACAGCTGTGTTTCCAGCTTTTAAAGACACTCGTATGGTGTATCACAATGTCCTCCACTTCCTGAATGGCACTTATTTGCAAAATGTACTGTGCTTTCACGAAACCCATGTCTTGTGCATAGCACTTGGACAGAGTATCCCGTTTAAAGCTGTATCATCCTGACTGAAGTTTTCAAATGTTGTGTCAGACCTGCAATAAGCAAACTTCTGATGCAATGTTGGCCAAACATTCAGCAAAAACCGTGAAAATCTGGTTTTTGTGCAGGCGCAGTACGTGCTTATTCCAGGTGGGGTCGTGTGGCGCAACGGGCGTGCGCTGCTCGGAATCAAGATGTCCCGGGTTCGAGTCCTGACATGCCACCGATCTAGATCATCTTGTGCCCTTGGGAAAGGCACTTTACACGACTTTCCCCACTAGACTCAAGTGAATTCGTCATGTCCTGTATTCGTTTCTATGTGCGGGACACAACACTAGCGACAGCTGCCTCTGTTCCGCGTGTATTGCACTGTTGCAATTTCAATAAATAATTAAAAATCAAATCAAAACAGGCACATGTACCTCTCCTCCTGTAACCTGTCCAGGTCTGATCTCAGCATCTTCAGCAGGTTTTCTCCCTCTTCATTCTCCCTCTCCCGACGGTTCATGGTCGTCTCATACCGCGCTATCTGCTCCTGTAGCCGCGTCTCCATTTTACTTCTTTCCTCTTGCACCTGTGTATGTTACAGATCATCCAGTACATTGTTACCAAATGAATATACCAATATATATAATTATGTAATTCCTGATTTTTTTCACTGTACTGTTATGTTCACTGTTTTCACTGTCACTTCTGTACAGTGAACTTATCATTACAGTTAACAAATAATTCCTGGACTTTCTTTTTCCTGCACCTGTCGCCATCGTGAATATATAGTTCCGAGAACATTTCTTTTCTCATAGTCATACTTTGAAATTTTGCTTCCATGAACATAAATTTTTGAAGTGAATTACAGTACATGTACCTGCCCCTAGATCACACCAATCTGATCAAACCTTTTATCTGATACAAGGGTCTCTGCATTATCTCATTTACTTTAAACTGCATTTAGTCTTCCCTTCTTCTGACATTAAAAAGAAACCTCATCTGTGTTGGTAGAATCCATAGTAACTATTAGTTGTAGAGTCACTGTGATAGTAACAATAATTATACTGCACTGCGCTGACTTTCATGGCAAGTTCCCTTCTTTGTGTTGGAACATAGCCTAAGCTCTACAACAGTGTTTTCCTTCTTCCAAGTTTGTGTTTAACTCTAATTTTTTTTACTATTTACAAAGTAAAAGGCAAGTATTATACTAATTATAATATCATGATAAGAGCACCAACCTGTGCAATCAATGTTTCCTGTTCCTGAAGTTTCTTGTTCTGAGCTTCCTTCTCAGCTTTCAAGTCCTCAAACTCAGCAGAGAAATCCCTGATGGCAGCATCAAACTCCTGTTTCAGCTGCTGTCTCCTCATCTGTTCTTCTTCAACTTCACCTTGTAACCTGTCCTTTTCTTTGTCTGCTTCATTCAGGTTATCTTTTAACCTCTCCTCTAACTCCCTCTGATATGCTTCTTTCACTCTCTCTGCTGTCTCTTCCAAGGCACAATTTTCCTCCTTTGCTTTCTCTAACCCTTCTTCCAGCTCAGTGCACTGCTGTTTCATGGACTCCAACTGGCCAAGAAGAGTCTGATTCTCCGAAGTCTTATTGTCCAAGTCAGCCTGCACCTTGTCTAGTTCCTGTTGGAAATGAGACTTGATGCGAGCCTTGTCTTCCTCATGATGCTCCTCAGCTGTCTTCAGTTCTGTCTTCAGGGTCTCCATGTCTTTCTGCAGAATTCCTCTCAACTTTGCTATCTTGTGTTCCTTTTGTTTCTCAGCCTCTAGTCCCAGGGTCTCCAGTTTGTTGCTCATCTCGTCTTCATACCTGTGTTTTAAGTCCTCCAACTCCCTGTCATGAGACTGTGCCAGTTCTGACAGTTGCTGTTGAAGTTCTTGAATCCTGTGCTCATGATCCTGCTCACCAGCAAACTGGGCAGTTTCCAACTGCTGTTTGTATGTTAGATTTAACTCCTCCCTGACCTTGTCTACTTCTGAGGCTACATGGACAGCATGCTCCTGTTTCAGGGCAGCCAGTTCAGCTTCATGCATGGTTTGGAGGTCTGTTATCGCTCTCTGTTGGTCTAAATCCCTTTCCTTGAGTTGCCCCTCCAACATTGCAACCTCAGCGGTATGTTGCTCCTTTAGCTGAGAGTTAATTTTGTCTATCTCCAATTTGTGATTTTCTTCCAGTTCTCTTGTTATCTTATCTAAATTAAGCATGTGCTGTGCAGACGTATCTTTCGAAACGCTTAATTTTAAACCCTCTAAGTCAGCCTCATGTTGCATTTTTATCTTAGTGACTTCCTCTGTCTGCATGTCCCTCAAATGTGCCAAGGCTTGTTCTTGCTCCTCTTGAAGCCTTGTTAGTTTTGTTTGTTGCTCTTCTGTTAATGCAGCTATGTCGTCATGATGTTGCTTCTTTAGTTCCGTTGTCAAAACATCAAATTCTTCCAGCAATGTTTTCTTTATGTCTGAGGCTTCTCTTTGGTGCTGCTGTTTAAGAAGTTCTAAAGCATCACCTCCATTCTTCAGTTTTTCTTGAGCGTCTTCCAGCTGAGTTCTCAAGTCTGCCACCTCGATGGTATGTCTGACCACAACCTCAGCTAACACCTGCTCATGTTTGTTTTTACAGAAATCTTCCACTTCCCTGACTTGCTTTTCCTTTTCCTCTCTCAGTACTTTCTTCTCCTGTTCCAATCTTTCAATGTCCTTCTGAAGTTTGCCTTTCCAGACTTCTATCTCCTTGTCTTTCTCCAGGTTAATTCTGACTATTTCATCTTGGATGTGTTTCTGAGCCTTGCCTAGTGCCTCTTCATGTTCAGCCTGTTGCTGCTCAAGCCCAATTTGCCGATCCTTGGCCAGCTCTTCTGCAAATGCTTCCTGCTGAGACTTCATTTCTGTCATGTATTTTTCCTCCAGCTCTCGTTTAAGGCTTTCTTGAGCCTCTTGATGTTTCGTCTCCAGTTCCTTACTTAGTTCTGCCATATCCTGCTCAGACTGTTTAGCAGCTTCTAAAGCACAGTCCATTCTCAGTCGAACTGTCTCCTGTCTGTGCTCTTCCAACAGCTTCTCTTGACTTTCTGACATCTCTCTTAAATGTGCCTCCTGAAGCTCCTCCACATCCTTCTTATATTTGTCAGCTAGCTGAATTCTCAGATTTTCTAAATCTGTTTCTGCTTTCTTCTCCATGTCTGTCTGCAGTGTTGTTATTTCTTGTTGGTGTGCTGTTGACATGTCAGTGCGAGTCTTTTCTATCAGGTCATTGTAGTGCTGTTCTAGTTCATCCTCTATGTCTTTCCTGTACCGTGTCAGGTCCACTTCAGACTGTACAGGGGAGGTTGGAGAGGGACACGGGGAACTGTCATCAGATAACAATGTGGACGTGAGAGTGTAGGCTGATGTAGGCATTCTGTATGCCGAGACCTCCTCTACCTCTGCCTCAGCCGTTTCTTCATAATGCTTCTTCACCTTTGCGATTTCTAAAGCAAAGTCCTCCTCCTGTTCCCGGCATCTTTTCTCAAAGTACGCCCTCATCTGTTCCATCTCCTCCAGGTGAGTTTGTTGCAGCTTGGCCTCCAGGTTAGCGGAGTCCTGCTGGAGTTTACTGAGTTGTTCCTGGTGGGTTGTGTTGAGTTGTTGGATCTCCTGACTGTGCCGTTGTGTGATCTGTTCCTGCCACTGCAGCAGTTCTGTCCTGACTTGCACCAGCTCGGCGTACTCTGTCTGGATGTCTGCGTGCAGCTGCAGCAGCTCCTGTTGGTGCTGCAACTCCAGCTGTTTCCTCAGGACTGCAGGACAACAAATTAAACAACAAGTATTGTACAAGGTACAAATTATGGCAACTACAGAGCTACAGTTCCATAAGGCTACCTTATGCTGAGGTCACATTTCCAAACCGGGACTAGCCTGGACAGCTTTCCAGAACAATATACAAAAACAATAAAATAAATGGAAAACAAGAATGATTACAACTGTTTATCGTGGGTACTATTTGTGTATATTCCTGATATTATTATTGTTGATTTTTTGTTCATGAAAACAACCCTGCTGGTATGAGTTTGGAATGTAGTCTGGGATGAGAATGGAATTTTACAAATAATGAATGATTTTCCTATGTATACCATGCAGAGGTTGCCACATGTCGTTAATATGTCACTAAATTGAACTAATTAAGTCCATTGAGATGAATCCTGGTATAATAAAAGATGATAGACTTGACGTGTATAGTGAATTAAAAATATTTACAATCAAAAACATACATGACGTGTACACAACACATGTATTTGTCTTCAATTAGCTACAAATCGACTGTCTGCAAGTGACTGAAAATACTTCTCAGCCAATTTCGAACTTAAAAATGTTTGTTTTTTTTACTTTTTTCATGGAACATTACCAACAGGAATAACCCATGAGAAGTCAAGTGTACATGTAGAACATGTCATGAGTATTGCAATGTTTTAAATTCCAATAAAATTAATGTTGGCTACATGTGGAATATTGAACTGTACCTTCAGTTTGTTCCAGTAGAACCTCCTGCTGCCTCAGCACCCCTTCCAGAGCAGACTGATGTTCATCCTTCTCCTGCTGAAGTTTCTCCTTCTCCTGAACAGCATCACTCTCCCTGGCCCTCAACTCTTCCTCGTGTTTCTCTTCCATCTCTTGTCGGAGAGAGGCCAGCTTATTCAGCGCAATCCTGTCTAACTCTTCTGTCGCTTTCTGTCAGAGGTGTGTAAAATATAAGAACAATTAGCCAATCAATAAAGGTTGTTAAGTGCCACCTACATGTGTTCAACAAATAAAGTCTACAAGTCACAGTACGAGGGTTTGTAAACTTTTTGGTCACAGAGAAATGAGGGGAACAACTCACATTTCAGGATATACATGTACATGCATGTTGTAAGTGTGAACTTCAAGCTATTTACACACTCATGTATGAATATCCACCATAAGCTACTGTACTGAATATCCACCATAACAAAAATTTAAAAGAATAAGATCACAGTCATGACTTGTCTGGGCTTAGAATAGTTTATGAGAAAATGCTAGAATGGCCTTCTTTATCAAGATAAGACTGTCATTACATGGGGACTATATTCAACATTCATGGAGCAAAAATGTCCAAAATTCTGAAAAAATGGTTACAGGAAGGACCTGGAATGATTTTTGGGGTACCACCCAAAAAATAATTTAAAGGACTTAAATTATATTAAATGCAGTTTTAAATGCCTAAAGTATGAAATACTGAATTCAAACATGCTAATGTTGGATAGTATGTGTCAATATTATACACGTCAGGTTGCCTTATTCAGAATATTTCCAGTTTTGCAGCCCTAAAATTGCATTGGCTACTCCAGGTCTTAAAGGTATTAATAATTTATTAATACCTTTAAGACCTGGAGTAGCCAGGAAAGCCAGTGTTTAGTTGCATGGTGGGTCAGACACAGGCTTTAGAACAGCAGAAAGGAGTAATCTGACAGCACACACCTGAATGCTGGCCTGATGTTCTGCTGTCAGCTGTGTCTTCAGCCTCTCCAGCAGCTGCTTGGAGGTCTCCTCTGTAGAAACTGTGCAGCAGAACAGTAGAGAAAATTTAGTAAATACGTATTAAAGTTTGCACTGGACAGTGCTGGAGTTATCAACCAAGGATTGGTTTGTTTAGCCGTTGTAGACCACAAGAGGACAAAGATTGATGTGTTCAAAAACTTGTTTTTCCCAAGCACTATTGATAGTGTTGTAGAATAGAACTCACTGCCACCAAGACGTACAGTAATATACACTAGATACATTGTAGCTTAGAACAATGCTTAGAGTTCAGATATTGCTATGGCTAGGTGTAATATGAGTCAAAGTCATTCAGTCTAATACTGTTTTTTATATTCATGGTACTTTAATTTATATTCATGGTTTTTACGGTCAGGTACTGTTGTCACAGTCACTTCAGATCTGTACCGCAAATCTACATGTATCTACTGCAAACAAATAATTTGGCAACTTTATTTCTTCTGCACCTGCCACCACTGTGAACATATAGTTCCGCAGTAGTATGTCCATTTTGCTCCGATCGCAAGATTTTGTAACCATGAATAAAAAGTGATTTACAGTATAGCCAGACACTGTCAAGGGTATCAGCTAATATACAGAATACAAAATGCTATTTAAATGATATGGCATATAAATTTGTACAACACCACGGTTTACATGTATACACAGGTGTGTGTTTTTTTTGTACATTTGTACACGGCCTACCTGTATGCTCCTGTAGCTGCTGCTGATGCTCAGTCTTCAGCTGCTGTACCTGTGCTGTCCACTTGGCCTCCAGCTGCTGTTCCTGCTGCTCCAGCTCTTGCTGCTGAGTCTGGACCAGGCTGGCCTCCAGCTTGGCCAGTGATTCTGCCTTCTCGTGTCTGGCCTCGGCTAACAACATCTCCAACTGTCCAGCATGGAGCTGGTCAGTCTCAACTCTCTGAGCTTCCAGACTCTGCTGCAGTTTCTCCTGTTGAGAGTATTTATGAAGATTTACCACATTTGTGGAAGGATTGACATAACAGGTGACTATCACCTTTTCAAAGATGTCAACCCCGAAACCAGACTGTAAGGTTTGAACCACTCACACCGGGAAGGTCCCCTACTCTTTTCGATAAGTGCGGTGGGTTCTTTAATGTGCGTGGGGTGTGGCT